TGCTAGACACTTGACTAAACCCACTGAATGAATTCTCACCTAATACTCCTAACAACACTAAAGAACAGGTGGAGTTCATTATGTCCCATTTTCATATGCAGGCACAGAGAAGCTAAGCAACTTGACCCACATCACACAGCTAGTAAGTGGTTGAGTCTCAGAGAGGTGAAGGGAATTCCTTACGTAGCAAGTGGTTAGCAAAACCAGGGTTTGAACTCAGGGTCTCAGACTCCAGAGCCTGCCCCTTGCTGCCACCTTTTGCAAACAGCTTCTAATAGGTACCACAGGTGCCAGTTCCTTTATGTGTACTAGTCTGGTCCTTACAACGCTTCAAGGTAGTTGTTCTTATTTGTCTGCTTTTACAGATGCACAACAGGCTCACAAAGGTTGAGTAACTTCCCTAAAGACACCAGCTCATAAATGGAAGGGTCAAAATTTGAACTTCAGGCCTGTCTGAGTTCAAAGCATATTTTCTTTCCTCTTTGCCTGCTGTCTCACAGCTCCTAGGCCTGGGCCTGCCTGTTTATTCCACTCTCCCGGCTCTCAAGGGGTGTGCAGTCTATTTGGAAAGACAGTGTATACACACAACAGTCCTGTCACACCTCAACACAGCGGTGAGCAGGATTAGGTGCTGTGGGCAGGGCATGAGAGCCCTGAGGCCGAAGTGGTCAAAGAAGCTGTTAGAGATTAGACAGGCCTCCAGCAAATCCTGGTGAGCAGCGAGGAGGGAGGACCTGGGGCTGGGACTTGGTAGGAATAAGGGCAGGAAGACCTAAGCTCCAGTGACTCGTGAGGGAAAAGATGTGGGAGAGAAGCCGGGAACAGAGGTTGGGCCCGATTGTGAAGGGCCCTTATATCATGACAAGAAGTTCTTCTATCTTGTTTTTTAGGGGAGGCGAATGAAGGGTTTTGAGCTGAGAGGTGACTCAAAGGGGCTATTTAGAGGAATGTGCCAGTTATATACAACCAGGAGGTCACAGTTCAATTCGTTCAGGGTACATGCCCGAGTTGCAGGCTCGATCCCCAGTGTGGGACATGCAGGAGGCAGCCAATCAATGATTCTCTCTCATCATTGATGTTTTAGCTCTCTCTCCCTCTCCCTTCCTCTCTGAAATCAATAAAAATTATTTTTTTAAAAAGAGACTCCAGACTGGGTTCCCCTGTCCCTGCCTGTGTGACCTTGAGCAAATCCCCTAACCTCTCTGGGCCTCTTTCTTATTTGTAAACTTAATGGGTTAGAACAGAGGCAGTGAGCAAAGGGACATTTGTCCATTATCTGCTATGTGCTGGGGCTGTGTATTCTGTTCTTTGAGGTTCCTGCCAGCTCTTAGATTGTGCCACCGGCAGAAATAAGGAACCAGGCAGAGATAAATAACACTCATTGTGACATTTTAAATTTTACACACAAAAAAACCTCAACCCCAAGCTTTGGAAACTGTTTCACATCCTGGTTCTGCCACTTACTAGCTGTGTGGCATTGGACAAGTAACTTAAGCTCACTTTAAAGTCTCCGAAACCTGATGATAATGATAACCTAACTTCTTGGGATGTTATCAGGGTTAAAGAAGATAACTATGCAGAATGCTCAGCATACAGTAGACCCTCAGTGAAGTGTTCTCTTTCCCTTGCCTTTTCCCTTCATTTTTTTTTTGAAATATATTTTTATTGATTTCAGAGAGGAAGGGCGAAAGAGATAGAAACATCAATGATGAGAGAGAATCATTGATCGGCTGCCTCCTGCACATCCCCTACTGGGGAATCGAGCCCGCAACCTGGGCATGTGCCCTTGACTGGAATCGAACCCGGGACCCTTCAGTCCGCAGGCAAAGGTTCTATCCACTGAGCCAAACTAGCTAGGGCGTCTTTTCCCTTCTTTCTCTCAGTTATTCTATGAGCCAGTAATAACAGGCACACTTCTTAAGCATTTACTTTGTGCTACTTCACATATTTAACTCATTTAATCCTCACAATAACCTGATGAGGAGGGTACCATTATCCCCATTTCAGTGATTGAGGAAACAGAAGCACAGAGAGGTAAAATGATTTGCTCTGCCACACAGGTAGCCAATGGTATCATCAGGAGAAACCCTGCTAGTAAGAGGGAGAGCCAGGATTCATGCTCCAGTCTACCTATTATTCCCATTTTACAAATGAGAAAACTGAGGCTCAGAGAAGTTTGACTTCAACCTCACACACAACCAGTCAGTGGCAAAACCAGGTTTCAGAGTGTATCCATTGGCCTCAATCCCCCTGCCCTTTACCACGCTGCTGGGTTTTAAGAAAGAAATGGATGCTCAGATACTTAGTTCCATTTCAAGCACACTGAGGTGATGGTGAAACAGCCTTCTGGTAACTGGAAGTGAGAGATGTCTGTTTGCTTCACTAATGCCTGCCGTGTGCTTAGAATAGTGCCTGCACATGGTACATACTCAGTGAAGAATCATTGGAGGCAAGTCATCAAATTGGAGATATCTGGGGAGTCCATCCAGTGGAAGTGGTGGCTGAGTGCTGGGGATCGCAGGCAGCCCCATGTGACTAGGAAATCTGTCCAGGAAGGAGCCACTGCTCTGGGGACTTGGTCCTCTGTGGCCTGGGTACCAAGAGGCTCAGTGGGTAGAACTGTGGGCTTTGCATTGGCAGACCTGGTTTCAGATTCCTGTTTTGCCAGCATTCCAGCTTCATGACCTCAGACGAGACCTTGGTCCTTTCTTTTTCTTAGCTTTTTACTAAAGTGTAACAGGCCTAGCAAAAGTGTACAAATCATAAGTGTCTATATGCTAATATAGAATGTTGTCAGCATGTAAAGAAACAGTGTATGAGCAGTGTCTCGGGAGTCCCCTTTCCCCCCTTCTGATCACTGTCACCCCTCCAAGGGTAACTACGCTCTGACTTCTAACACCATAGATTACTTTTACCTGTTTTTGAACATTTTGTGTTCTTACATGTGTGATTTCTTCATTTTACACAATGTGGATGAGATTCATTCGTTTTGCTGTGTGTAGTTGTGGATCACTCATTCTCATTGCTGTATTAGAACTCCATTGTGTGGCTCTACTATATTTTTTAATCTGTTCTATTGATGGACATTTGGGTAGGTCCAGCTTTTGACTATTAGGAGAATTGTCGTGAACATTCTGTGTATGTCTTTTGGCTCACATCACATCATGCACATTTCTGTTGGGAAGACACCTAGGAGTGGGATTGCTGGGGTGCCTATGTTGAACTTTCATAGTTAGTACCAGTTTTCCAAAGTGCTCATACGAGATTTCTAGTTGCTTTACATTTTTGCTAACACTGGATTTAAGTTGGGGTTTTTTTTTAGCCATTCTGGTGCATGTGTAGTGGTAGCATATTGTGGTTTTAATTTGCATTTCCCTGATGACTAAGGAGTATGAGGACCCTTTCATGTGCTTATTAGTCATTTGGACAGCTTCTTTTATTAAATGCCTGTTTGAATCTTTTGTCCACTTTGAATTCAGTTGTCTGACTTTTTCTTACTGATTTTATAAGACTTCTTTATATATTCTGGATATAAATCCTTTGTCTTTTGTCAGATATTGTAAATATCATCTTCTACTCTGAAGGTCACCTCTTCATTATTTAAATGATATCTTTAGACGAACAGAAGTTCTTGTGATATATGCAGTTTAGTATCTTGCTCTTTTATGATTAGCCCTTTTGTATCTTTTAAAAATGTTTTTATTGATTTTTAGAGAGGGAGAGAGAAACATCGATTTGTTATTCCACTTGTTTATGCATTCATTGGTTGATTCTTGTATGTTCCCTGACTGGGTATCGACCTTGCAACCTTAGCATATTGGGATGACACTCTAACCAACTGAATTACCCAGCCAGGCAAGCCCCTTTGTGTCTTGTTTAAAAAATATTTGTCTACTTCACAGTCATGAAGTCCATGAAGTCGTTCTCCCATTTTTTTAAAAATATATTTTTATTGATTTTAGAGAAGAAGGGAGAGGGAGAGAGATAGAAACATAATGATGAGAGAGAATCATTCATCAGCTGCCTCCTGCACGCCCCCCACTAGGAATCAAGCCCGCAACCTGGGCATGTGCCCTGACTGGGAATCAAACCATGATCTCCTGGTTCATAGGTCGGCACTCAACCACTGAGCTACACAGGCTGTATCTTCAAAATTTAAGGGCAGCCTCCAACATCAATGTAATTCCATGACCACATCTAGGAAAATTAATAGTTCCCAAATTTCTAATCTATAGTCATTTTCTGCCAACTGTCTTTTGTTGCTGTGTTTTATTTTGTTTTTCAAAACAGGATCCAAGTTAGGATCATGCATTGCTTAAGTCTCCTAAATCTTTTTTTTTAAATATATTTTATTGATTTTTTACAGAGAGGAATAGAGAGAAACATCGATCAGCTGCCTTCTGCACACCCCCTTTTGGGGTTGTGCCTGCAACCAAGGTACATGCCCTTGACCGGAATCGAACCTGGGACCCTTCAATCTGCAGGCCGATGCTCTATCCACTGAGCCAAACCGGTTAGGGCTCCTAAATCTTTTTTAACTTAGAGCCATCACCCCTCTCTTTTTGTAAGTGACTGACTTTTGTTGGCGATCAGGCCAGTGGTCTTGTAGGTGCCCCACATTCTGGATCTGTTTCTCGTAGCATTGTTTACTTTGTCCCTCCACATCCTGAACCTCCTGAATTTGGAAACTGGATCGAGGCTTGAATAGATGCAGATAAACCTCACCACGCCTTTCCAGGGCCTTCTCTGATAGCCTTTCTCAGAGTTGTGTAAGGGCCTCCATGTGTGAGCAGGTGTGTAAAGTTTTAACACTTCCCAGTCCTAGTAAGTGGTAGCAGTTCTTCGTATTTGTCCCCACCTTAGGCTGGCACTTTAACGTTTGTTCCCTGGAAAGTTTCCCCAAGGCTTCTCTTGTCCCAGCCAGGAAGCAGTGGCTTTTCCCCGGTGGGGGCTCCTGGATCCAGGCTTGGACATCCCCCATCTTTCTCTCCCACCCTCAGACAACACAGGCAGTTCCACCTACCGGCCACCCCCTCGGACCCAGGAGGTGATGATCAATGGGCAGATGGTGAAGTTGAAGTATTGTTTCACCTGCAAGATGTTTCGACCACCCCGGACCTCACACTGCAGTGTCTGCGACAACTGTGTGGGTAAGTGAGGGACCACAGGGAGGGATGTGGGGAACCCTGAGAGAATTGAAGATTGGAGGAAAGGGAGTCATTCGTGTGGGGCTGGAGGGGGGTGGTGTGTTGGAAAGGTCCAGGGCTGGGCAGGAAGTCTGGGTCACTCAGATTTGCTCTGACCAAGAAGGAACCCGAGAATGACCAGTGGGCTCTCAGTGTGACCACTGGTGTCTTGGCTTCAGCCCAGGATCAGTGGATTCCTTCCCCGCAGCTCGGAAGTGGGGCAGACACAGAGAGGCCCTGAACTTTTCTTTTAGGCCTCAGCCTGGTCCTCAGAGGTTCAAGGTCCCAGAACCAGAGACTTGGACCAATAACATTCTAGATGCATTTGGGCCAGAAAGGAAATGATTTACCACCCAGTGCCCGGGACCAGCTATACTGAAATACTTTGATCTGACTCTCAGGGTTTTGGAGGGACAAGAGTCTGGGAACAGAGGGGTTTAAGCTGGTGAGGTGGAGAGGAGGTAGCCAGGATTGGAAGCTGAGCTGCTGACTCACAACTGCAGTGGTTGCTGGGGAACCAGAGACTGTGTTGTCCCTTCTCCCTGCTTTCCAGAGGCTGGGCAGCTCTGATGGGGACCAAGGGTGTGCCCCTGGGAGGTATCGTAAGGTAAATGCTATGCAAGAGGGCCCGGTGAGCTGTGCCACTGTGACTGTGCACAGCCCCCAGGGCAGTGAGCTCATCAAGCTGGCTCAGCATTCCCTGAGCAAGAGAATAGTGGGGAACACCCCATGACGGCAGGCAGTGAAGTGGGTGACTCAGTGGGCGTCATTCATCTAAGAGAATCAGCCCCACCCACCCCCTGCAAAGGGTGCTGGCCTTGGTGTGAGGCCTGCAATGGGCTTGTGACCCATATTCCCACAGGGGACTTTCCCCTACCCCCGGGGACGTGGTGCTGGTGTGAGATCAGCCCTCTGACCAGGCCTCTGGTGCCAGTTCTCCACTTGTTACATAGCGGTCTAGCCCCTCCCTGAGCCTCTAGTTCTCACTTGAGGGACAAGGGTCATTAGTTTTTCGTGTGTGGCAGGGGTCGTAGGCTGGGCAACAAGTACTTTTTGTGGATCTTCCTTGTACCAGACACAGCTGGGCCCTGGGATTCAGCTCATTATGAGGCCAACACAGGCCCCCCTTATGGAGCTTCTAATTGAGCAGGGGACACTGGCCAGTCCACTAATTGTAAATAAATATGTGAACACCATGGACAAAGTGCTGCAAAAGATAAGTGCCAGAGCAACAGAGCAGGTAACAGGGACCCTTACCTTGCCTGGGGTCAGAGGACACTTTCTTAAGGAAGTGGCTTTGCAGCCAAGACATGAAAGAGGAATTTCCCTTCACCAGGAAAGATGGGGAAGAATGTGTGAGCCGTAGCAACCAGTTCCCACAGGACCAGAAGCAGGGAGTGTCTGAGAGCTGCTGGTGTGGAGAGTGAGGGGGTGGGAAAGCCAGCCAAGGTGTGAGGCCTCTGAACACCTGTGCTGGTTGGTTGCCAGCCAGGCCTGCACTAACCCCTCTCCCCCGGCCCTTTTCCAGAACGGTTTGACCATCACTGCCCCTGGGTGGGCAACTGTGTGGGGAGACGGAACTACCGCTTCTTCTATGCGTTTATTCTCTCCCTCTCATTCCTGACGGCCTTCATCTTCGCCTGCGTGGTCACCCACCTGACGCTCCGTGAGTTGGCGGTGGCAATAGGAGCGGGGACAGCAGAGGGCGGGCCAGCCAGCTCAGCCAGGCTGAGGAGCTGTGGTCACCGTCCCTCTGAGCCGTGTTCTCCCCTGTTTCTTCCAGGCTCTCAGGGAAGCAACTTCCTCTCCACTCTGAAGGAGACACCAGCAAGATATCCTTTGCCTTTGTCTGCTAGTGGGCAGCCTGGTGGGAACTGAGGCCCCGTCACGGGGATGGGTTCCCACACCTCATCCTGTAAACAGAGGGCAGTGATGTAGAGCAGGTGTTTGTCCTCTAGAATCCAATATGCACCCAGGCTTGAGCTGATCTTAAATGGGCTCTTGTGGGACGGGGTGGCCGAGAACTCTCAGGAGCCACAGTCCCTGTCTTCCCTTAAGGCACCAAGCCCCCTGGACCGCGTCCACAGCTCTTGGCGCTTGGAACCCTCAGTTCCCACTACTGCCCATCACCCTGGGCTCATCCTGCTCTTGAGGGAAGCTCTTCAACCCTTCTTGAGGCCCAGGAGGTAATGCTGCTAAGAGGTGGTGACTGGGCCATAGGAAGGTTACACACTTATTTCCTTTCTGGGGAAGGAGAGGGGAGAAAGGCTGGGCGTGGCAAGATCCCAGGTGCAGGGGAGGCTCCCAGCTCTGATCCTGGTTGTGGGTCCTTGACTGCCTGTTCACTGTGCTGGAGTTGGTGATCTGCTTCTTCTCCATCTGGTCCATCCTGGGCCTCTCAGGGTTTCACACTTACCTCGTCGCCTCCAACCTGACAACTAACGAAGATGTGAGTAAGGCTGGACCCTTGGCAAGAGGCGGGGCTAAAGGAGCTGGAGTGGCAGCAGTGCAGCCCTGACTCTCAGCCTGCTGGGGAAACGTGGGTGGAGATGATAGGCAGCCAGCTCCTTCAGTGCTCATGGCTTGGCCCTGAGACCCAGCACAGCTTCTGAGGCCCCCACATGTGTTGGCGCTTGGTGCAGGCTCCCAGGGCCCCCAAGATGCTTTCTCCCTAACCCCAGAAAAGCAGCACTCGCACCGTAACAGTCATACATTTGGCAGCACATTGTTGTCTCCAGAGTTCTTTCAGTTCCCATCATCTCTTCGGGTCCTTTCGCCAACTCTGAGGGATGCCTCTTCTCCATTTGATGGCTGAGTGACTTGCCCCAAGATTACGCAGCTGGGAAGGGATAGAGTCAGGATTTCACCCAGGCGCCACGGCCATGCTCACTGTCCCCCCGCTACAATTGTAGGCAGCAGAGATGTGACTGTTCTGAGGTGGCTTCCTTATTTACGGGAACAGCCAGGACAGGACCCTGAGGTTCCATTAATCCTCCCTACCTGCTGCCTTACAGACCCTCACCAACAAGCATTGTTTGAGCACTCACGGTGTGCCTACCCCTGGGCCAGGGACCTGACCTCCCCTTCCTGTTCTCCCAAACAATAAAAAAGCAAACAAGAGCGTCCATTCCAGGGTCACTATCTGATACTAAGGGGCCCGTCGACTAACAGAAAATACCTTCTGTGACCTCAGCTTCTTATTTAGTGAAACAAAACTTAACACGCATGATAGGGTATCATCTGCTGGGCGATTGGTACAGAGCAGACTCTCCTAAGGTGGTTTCCTGGGTGCTGGTTCTGTAGGGTATTACTAGGGGTTAAATAAAGAGGACTGATATAGCCAAATAAATTTGGGAATCTCTGGGTTAAAGTTAAGCAGGTGTCCTTCACTGCTAAACTCCTCAGTGCCTTTGTTAGCAGGCTTCACAGAGCTAGAGCTGGACAAGATTTCGTCTGATGCTCCAACAGTGCTGTCAGAAAGTTGGTATCAGAGAGTTCCCTATTTTTCAAATGAGGATTCAGAGGAGTAGTGATCTCTCCGGGGTTACGCAGCGAGTCAGTGGCAGGGAAGGCAGCCCGACCCCTGTGCCCTTGTCCCTCCACCTTAGGAGGCTGGCCAGAGAAGGGAGGATGCACCCAAAAAGTTTCTTTGGAGGCTTCTCTGTGGCTCTCCTTTGTCTTCTGTCCTGTTTGGGGCCTCCTCCTCTCTGCTAGGTGCCCCCCACCATCCAGAAGTCCCCCACATTCTCTCTGAATGGCCCCTGTTAAAGACATGTCCTCTCCAGTAGTCTAGTTGGAACTGGTTTCAGAATTTGCCAGTTTTCCCATGCCTCTAGACTCCCCCCACCCCCCACCTTAGAAAAGTGAAGCAAAGGGAGTTAGGTATCTGACCCAGACCCCCTTCTACTTGCAGATCAAAGGCTCGTGGTCCAGCAAGAGAGGTGGCGAGGCCTCTGTCAACCCCTACAGCCATAAAAGTGTTATCACCAACTGCTGTGCTGTGCTCTGCGGCCCCCTACCTCCCAGGTGAGACGGGGTGACCTTGTGAATCCACATCTCTCAAAGAGGTTCTGGAATCAGCAGACCTCTCCCCACATTACCCTCCTCTGTCCCCATCCCCTGCTGAATGCTCTCAGGGCATTTGTCACATAAAGGAGTTCTATGGAGAGTTGTAATTTTAAGTCATGTGCTCATTGTAGATAAAAAATAAGTACAAAATATGAAAAAGAAGAGTGTTAGGTCTCACATGTAGTCTTACTCCCCAGGGATAACCACAATTAATATTTTGGCCACACTTGAGCAACGCTGCCCTTCTGGTGCTGCTGGTGCTGCTGGCCAAACTGGGGGGACGACCTCCATTCTCCCTCCTAGAAGGAGAAAGCCCTGGTGGTTCAGCCCTGCTAGGAAGCACCCCATCCATCCTGACAGCAGAGGGCGCCAGATGGGAGCTAAATGGCAGTGGACACTGGGAATAAAACTTCCCACACTGTCCCCTTCTCCTCCCACCAATTCTGCCAGAAAAGGGACAGTAGGAGTCGCACTATCTCCAAATGCCCTTTCATCCTTACTGTTCCCCTCGCCTGCAGCCTGGCTTCTTGGCAGCCACACAGAAAGGTGAGCTAGTTTGAATTAACAGTAAATAAATTCTGTGGCCAAAAGCCAGGTGCCCAGAGTGTGGAGAGAGGGCCCTTCTGGAAGGGAGGAGTCTTGAGCTCCCAGCGGGAAGACAGCTCCCTTTTCCTCAGATTTTCTAGGACTTCCCTTGGCGGGGCCATTTATTTCCTACCCTGCGTGCTGTCCCCAGTGTTCCATGGCTGTACCCTCTGCTCCCCAAACCGAGGTTCCCACGGCCTTAGGCATGAGATCCCCCCAGCTGATCAGTGGCAGGAGTGACAGGATAGAGAGGCCAGGGCCGGGTGCCCAGAGGACCACACCAAGTCTCTGCCATCCAGCCCCAGCCTGGAGTCCTGGTGTCAGGCAGAGCCCTCACATGTCCACCTTGTGTTTTTGAAGCCTGATTGACCGGAGGGGATTTGTGCAGCCTGACACCCTGTTGCCCTCACCCATCAGAAGCGACGAGCCAGCCTGTGGAGCCAAGGCCGATGCCAACATGGTAGGAGGCCACCCTTGAACCTGGCTTAGTACTTGCCACCTGCTGGCCTGTTTGCCCTTCCGCACTCACCTGCCGCACTCCACACCTGCCGAGACCCTCCCCATTCCACCCAAGGGAAGCAGAGCCACCAAAGACTCAAGGCTTTTCGTATTTATTTCCCACCCTGCGTGCTGTCCCCACACCGTTCCATGGCTGTACCCTCTGCTCCCCAAACCCAGGTTCCCACGGCCTTAGGAGTGAGATTCCCCCCAGCTGATCAGTCGCAGGAGTGACAGGATAGAGAGGCCAGGGCCAGGTTCCCAGAGGACCACGCCAAGACTCTGTGCCAGGGCGAGCCCTGTGTGAGTGAGGGTGCGGACTGAGTGTAATGCCTCCCAGTTGGGGAAGCTGCTGAGCCCTGCTGGGCTGGGCTTCTGGGGTGAAACAAGACCCAGGAGCAGTGGCTTGGACAGCGGGCTATGGGACAGGATGTTTCCATGGGCTACTTTGGTTTGCAAGCTCCTTCATTCTTTTTGTGATGATCATTGTTTTTCTTTAGTTTTTTATTTTTTTATATGGAGTTGGCCAATAAGAGTAGAGCTGGGTTCTAGGTAGAGAAGGCAGAGTTGGAGGTGGATGGGGGTGGAGGGGTGGGGTAGCCTGTGTCAGAAGAAGCCAAACCAGCTGGCCAGGCACCCAAGACCTCAGCTCCATCATGATTCCTGGGAAGCACACTAGGAAGTGGGGCTTTGCCATTTCTCTGCCCATAGAGGGTTCTCTATGGGATCCCAGCCTGGCCCCCCCATCTCTTTCCCAAGTCAGGTCTGGGATGGGTAGGTAATACTCATGCTGGCAATACTTGAAACGGGTTTATTAATGCTGGGTATTTTGCACAATTTTATAGACCTCTTTTCTACATTTTTTAAATGGAAGAAGAATTCTTAAAAAGTCAGCCATTTTGCTGTCTGTGTAATGCCAGGTTATCAGAAGGCAAATTGATTTTAGTAAGTTTATTACAAGAGACCTTTTGACTGTGAGTGTGTGTGTGTGTGCTTGCCCTTGTACAAATGTGGCTGGCTCCCACTTCCCCACATCCCCTGGGCTGCCCTCCTCCTCACCATCCCCCTCCAGTGTCAGCCAGCAACAGCAGTACCGGCCTGAGCCATGGGGACAAGGAATGTGCGCAGTGGTTACAAGAGACCCCTGGGCTCCTTCTGTGGCTCAGCCCACATCCTCCTACCTTTCCCTCCTCCAGGGACTTCCGACAGCCAGTGGCTGGGGACTCAGCCACCCCCAACCCCACCCCTGCCACCCAGCCCCCAGGTCAGGCTTCCAGCTGGGATCTGCCTAGACAGGCTGAGGCTGGGTGTGGTGCATGGGGTAATGGCTGTGAGGAGCGGCTGCCACCCTAGAAGCCACACCCCCTCCTCCAAGCCCCGAGTATGGGACCCAGTGCCAAGGGCTAGAGAACAGGGAATCTCTGCCAACTGGAGGCCTCCGTCCAGAGAAAAGGAAGGAAGGAAGGAAGGAAGGAGCAAGGTGGGCCAAGGCGAATGAAGATTGGCCTAAATCTAGGCCAGAAACTCAGAGACTGTCCCTCCTCTGCTGGGAACTATAGTTTCTTGTCAAAATAGATAGGAAATTGTTCCTCTCTCCCCCTCCTTGGCCCTTCAAATGGGCCGAAGTCCTTGGAAAATGACATAGGAAGTCCCCTTATCTTGCCCTTCCTTGCTCCAGAGGCCAGTAGGTCACAGGCAGTTGAGAAGTGGCAGCCACAGAAGGTCTCCTCTGGGAAAACAGCTTCCCTTCACCCAGCCTTAGTGCCCCGCGCCAGGCTGCAGTGGCACTGGGAGGGGGGCAGGACGCTGGGTAGAGGAGGTTGACTCCCATCTGACTTTTATTTAAGCTAGTGTTCTTTGTTCTTGCTTGTAATAAAACTTTTGTTTTTAAGAGTTGATTTGCTTTGGTTTGGTTTTTGTTTGCTCTTCTTTGCTGAGGCCCCAAATGTCAGCCATCTATTCTTTCAGTCAAACTTGGTCTTTCCTGGGGATACAGAGAGAAGGCAGGCAGCCCACCGACCTGGCTAAAGTTCTCCTCTCCTGGCTGGAGTCTGTCTGCTGGAGGCAGAACAGAGAGGACTGCGGCTAGGCATAGGCATGTAAGAAGAGGCCACTGCCCCCTCCACCTTCCCCTGCCACAGGGGCTTGGAGGCCCCCAAGTTCCTTGCTCTCTTTCTACTCTGACCCCAGTGACTGCTCAGCTAAGAAAATGTTTATGAGACAGTAGATTCCAGTTTGAGAGCTGGAGCCTTCCTGGCCCTCACCTCCGTCTGGGCAGCAGAGCCCAGCCAGACATCTCATAACACTGGCCCACCTCTCCGGTATCTCCTCCAGGAGGACACCTGTCAGGATTTTGCCATCTCCTGCACAGCCTGAGGGGAGCTAACAGTCCTCTTTGCAGAGGGTTAGCTGGTAAGACCATCTCTCCCCTGTCAGCCAGCACTGCCCGCTCCCCTCACACACCATCTCATCCTCATCGCATGCCTCGCAACCCCATGGAGCCCATTCATCTGTCTGGTGTGTGGTGTGGTGTGTATGCTGGTGGTGGTAGGGTCCCCAGGGCTCCCCCCTGAGCAGAAGGATGGGGTCAGGGCGAAGAGCCCAGCCCTCCTCCGGATGAGGAAGTAGTTTCCCACACAGCAGCTCTCTGACTGACGCAGGAGGTGAAGGGTGAGGGTGGGGAAAGGATGGGGTACCTGCTCTCAGATGCCTGGGTCTATTCTGGTGGTGCTCTGGTGTACAGGGGCCTTTGATCACTAACACTGTGTCCTGGCTTTCTGTCCCTGCTGAGCTTTCTCTCACCTGCCCGTCTTCTCTCCTGCTTCGTTGCCTGCTGCCCAAGCCTTGGCCCTCTGTGGGGAAGAGGCCCTTCTGTGGGGAAGAGGCAGGTGCTGTGGAACCCCTCTAGGCCTCCTCTTTCCTCCCCATCCCACTAACCCTCTCTCTTCTCCTTCTTTGCTGTCTTGCCCGGGATCTCCAGTGTGTGCGGGGGCTTAAGGACCTCCTGAGGACCGCTGCTCTCTTCCTCTCCAGGAGTGGCCTGGGGGAAGCCAAGCACCTGGCACCTCCACCTGCCTAACCTGTGGCCCATCTGCCACCATCTGTGCCTACAGGGTCTACCCCCAAGCCTGCCCCACATGTGTGCTCTCTAGGGTCCCTCCATAGGGGCCAGGGGGCTGACCTCTTTGCCCCCATCCCCACTCCATGCTGGCCAGAGTGTAGAAAAGCCATAACGCAGCTGTCAGCACAATGATGTAATACTATGCTGAAACTCACCCTCCCCTCTTCCACCTTACTTCCCCTTCCCCAGATTGGTAAGGTATCAAGACTCTTTAGGAATCTTGCCTTACCGCCTGCCCCCCAGAATCAGGCATAGCCGTAGTCGAGCTGAGCAGGTTTCTTCAGGAGCTGTCTGGGGTGTTATGGTTGATGACGCTGCTGAACAAGTTTGGTAACAGTTTTAAGCACAACTGGTTTGACACTGTTCCCACGGCCCCCTCCACCCCCAGCACTTGAGTAGAAAGGTTGCAAGGAAGATGCTTGTACCCTTTGCTCCAGGCACCAAGGGACTGAGCTAGTTCTGGCAGCCCCTTGTTCTTCAGAGGAATTAAAGGAAACTGGCTGGGCCTCCGGAATCTGCTAAGCCCATGGCTGGGGTCTGCTTGTCTGCTATCCTGTACCTTTTTTAAACCAAAATAAAGATTTCCCTCTTCTTGCCATATCTTTGGCTGTCTGGTGCCACTCTTTCTTGGGGTCTGGGGGTGGGGTCTGTGCTGAGTGTGCAGGAGAACCACTGCTTACAGCTGCCAGCTTTGTTCCAGCTGGTCAGTGCTGTTTGGAGATTTTTAAAAGGCACGGCATCCCTGGCTGGGTGGCTCAGTTGGTGGGAGTGTTGTCCCGAATAAGGCCAAAGTTGCAGGTTCCATCCCCAGTTGGGGCACATACAAGAGTCAACCAATGAATGTATGGATGGGTGGAGCACAAATTAATGTCTCTTGCTCTCTCTCCCCCTCTCTCTAAAAATAATTTTTTAAAAAAAGGCATAACAAAGCAAGAAGTGACACAGGAAGAATGACCAGCATCCTCTTCACTGTGCCCCTCCAGAACTCCTGGTCTCAGCTCCAGAGACCTTTAAGTCTTAGCCGACCTCTGAACTCTGAGAGGTCACAGCCTTGGCTGGGACAGAGGGGTTGACTCCAGTCTGGGACTGTCACACCCCTGAACTGAGCTTAGCCCAGGGTTACACTCTCATGGAGCCTTCCCTCTCCCAGATGCCTCCCTACATCAAGATATACAGTATGCTAGGAGCTAAATAATAGTAATAATAATAACTACAGTGGCCATTCAGCAAGGGCTTGCCAAGTCTGTTTTCTCACCTAAACCTATGAGGAAAGTGCTGTCAGCCTTTTTACAGATGAGGGAACTGAGGCTCAAGGAAGGCATAGGAGTTGCTCAGGGTGTCCCAGCTGATAAAGCAGCAAATTCAGTATTTGAACCTGATCTCTGGCCTGACCTCTAACCCTTCTGCACCACCCAAAGAATGAACACTGCGCTTCAGGAGAAGGGAATCTCAAGAGGAGAAACCCTAAAATTAGAGAATGTCATTCATAGCCAGCAGGGGGCTTAGAGGAGATCTGTGAGGCCTCCCTGTACCTATGGGAAAACAGGCCCAGAGGAAGGAACCTGCCCAAGGCTTTATAACTGAGCTGGAATGCAGTCCCACACCCTGAACTCATTCATTCCATTTTCTTTCCAAAAATTCCACACCGTGTTCTAGACTGGACTGGTCTAGGAAATGTGGGATACTCTAAATAGCAGTGTCTTGAGGAGGAAAAGTCTCAGGATAGCTGTCTCACTTAAAAGTAATCTAATCCCCCCGCCAAAGGCAACTAGTAGAGTGAGCTCTTGACTGGATAACTGAACTCTAGTTTATAATTAGGGGGAGAAGATGATCGCCTGTTTAGTTTGATCATTCTAAAACCGGAAAAATGTCCTAGGAAGTTCTTCCTGGAATCTTAACAGAGTCCTTCCTGCTGCAACCAGAGCCCTGTTCTCTCTTCTCAGTAGAGATAGACAACTAGCTGCTGCCTTCCTCTCTGTGCTACAACCCTCAAAGCCTGTTTACCAGCTAAGAAGGGCTGGTTGTCTCTGGGACCAGAGGCCTTAAGCATGCTGGTAGGATGGATGTTATATAGAAGGGTGGGAGGTAGGCAGGATGAGGAAAGCCCCTTTGGGCTGCAGCCCCAGCTCCTGTCCTGCTGACTCAGGTGGCTGACTGTGGAACTCAGTGCCCTGCCGGGGCCTGCTGCCTCCTGCCTGCTGCCTCCTGCCTGCCTGGGCTTCTGGACTTGGGAAATGGAAGCCTGGAGGCAAAGGGAGGTGCATCAGACAGGAACTGAGTCAGGATAGACAGGCCAGAGCCAGCAGGAGATGTCAGGCAGCCTGGCTCCGATTCAGCAGGGAAAGGGGGCTTTCCTTTCTCTTGACAGGGTCTGTGCTGAGGGCATGGAGCTTTAGGGTGTGAATCGCCACCAGGTCTCCAGGTTTGAGTGATGGAAAAGAGAATGCTCCCTCCCTAGAGACAGAAATAACTCCAAAATCGCCAGGTCCCAAGTTTATGCTGTTCTGGGACCTCCGGCTTTCCCTCACGACTTGGAAAGCCTGGACTGAGTCAAAAGAAGGTCCTTGAGGGCCCAGGGTTTGCATAGGCCAGAGGAATGTCCAAGATGGAGAAGGAGGAGGCAGTGTTGAGTGAGCATATCTTGACTATTCATCCATCTTCCTTCCCATGTGGACACCCAGCTGAGCAGACTCTGGTCTTTGGTTGAGGCCTTGTGAGGGGCCCTTCCTCATTTCATAGGCCCCAGGTCCATGTTCATGCTATGAGTGTATATTTTTATAATAAATATAAAAATTGTTAGCTGTCCTTGTGTCAGCCATGGGTTGGATTTTTTTCTACGTGATAATAATAGTTATCATCCACTCAAGCAAGTGCTTTCCATCAACTCATTTAATCCTCACAAACCCATTTTATACTTAGGAACACTGAGGCTCACAGAGGTTAAGTCACTTAGCAAAGGCCACAGCAGCTGGTAAGAACTGAACCTGGCTGGTCTGATTCCAAATATACTGGCTATTCTATCTCTCAGAAAAATAATACACATTTATGATAGATGATTTGAGTAGAATAGGAAAAGGAAAAAAAGTCAGTTTCACTCCCTAAAGATACCCTCAGTAAGTTGTATTTTAGTGTACTAAAATAGTATTTCCCTTTCCATCATTTTCTGTCTAGATTGAGCAAAGTCTTCAGGATATTAAGCCTAAAATCCCTTCTGCTTCTTTGGAAAACCTATAGCATTAGCCCAGATATGTCCCTATTTTTCCTTCTAAGAGGCAGATCTCATCTTGGAGCCTCAGAGTTCTGGCCTAGGGCTCCCTGCCTCCAGAAGGGGAGGAGGGGTGTTCAGACACCAAGAACAACCCAGGGAAGGACAGGCCTGTGACATGGTCCTGGCTCCAGGGTTAAGCTGGCTAGATCCCAATGAGGGGAGCCCCACCCCTGAGCCCCATCTGAGCTATAGCTAGGGGTGGGGCAGATAAGCAGGAACCCACCTTCATGGGGGCAGTGCCAACACCTTTAGATGAAAGGAACCCTTGGCTGACACAAGGACAGCTAACAATAATAGTTTCCACCCAGCTAACAGGGACAGAAGGTTGACAATAGAGACCTCTCCATCCATGCCAGAGGTCAGAGGTGGGGCCTTGGTCAAAGGGAAGGGGCAGGAAAACTCCTGAGAGTCGGGCTTTGGGAGGCAGTCCTCAGCTGGGACTACTGCCCCATAAAACAAAATGGTATGTGTCACCTCCTTTTTCTTAGCCCTGTCTCTCTCCCCAGTTGCTAGCGTCCCCCCTGGGGAACCAAACTGGGCAGAGCACCCAGGTGGCCTGCTTCCCAGCCTCTGACAGAGGGTGAGCTGAGTCAGGCAGAAAAGTGGGCCAGCCAGCATCTGGGATCTGGGCCCCCACCCTCCGTGAGCCCCACTCATACAGGATGGCTGGTGACTTGGAGGGGGCAGGTGACCTGGCCTGGAGAGCCAGAGGGTAAGTCCTCAAACAAGTGGCAACAGGCCACCAACTTGAAAGGGAAAATTGTGCTGTGATGGGAAAGGTGTCCAACAAACCTACTGAGTGACTAATTACGACGGCTGGGCTGGAGCGTCAGAGGCTGCTCATTAAACACCTCATTAAGTGGCACCCTGAAAGCTGCCACCTGTGCATTCTGGGAGCTCAGAGGGGACAGGATCCTGAGGGAGAGTGAGGGTGGGGGATGGAACCATTTCAAGAAGCTTGGATCCCACTTCTAAATACATCCTGGAGCTCACAAGCCAGAGGGCTTGATGGGAGAGAAGTCAAGGAAGTAGGATGCAGGGGACTTAGTGGCTGTGTGACCTTGAGCAAATCTCGTCCCTCTCTGAGCCTTAGTATTCCTGTCTCTAAAATGGGGTCGTAGTCATAGTCCTGCCCACCTCACAGAGACATCATGGGGATTAGATTGGATACTGGAAGCCAAGGTTGGGTAACTGTAGAGCCCTAGCTACACAGGAGTGCTCTCACCTGAACCAAGGGGGGAACCTCTCTGGCAGGAATAAGAACCCCATCCTCCTGCACTTGGCTCTGTGGGGTCTGCCTAGGCTGATGCAGCCAGGTGGCTGAGCCATCCTTTGCCCCTGGAAGGACACCGTGAAGGAGAATCCGATTTGAGAAACGGGGGAGCTACCTCCTGCGGGCATCCATGTAATGGGAGCCCTGAACAAGAGGGGGCAGCTTGGAGCCTGGCAGGTGCAGCCAACACCCAGATTTCTCCTGCGGACTGCCCGGATGACTCACCCCACACCCCATCCCTTTTACCTTTAAGGAAGAGCCGGAAAGGGTGTGGGGAGAAGAGGAGAGGCGGTAGGTCCGGAGCCTCAGTCCCGCCCTCTGCCCCTCCCCACCCCACCCCGCTCTGGGCCAAGCCACCCAGCCAAAAGGCAGGTAGGGATCTGGGAAGGCACAGAATCCTGCTGGGTCCCGAGGCAGCCGTTTAGCCTGCCGCCTGCCTGCCTGCCTGCCTGTCTGTCCCCAGAGCTGAGCGATGGAGAGAGCAAGTCTGATCCAGAAGGCCAAGCTGGCAGAGCAGGCCGAACGCTATGAGGACATGGCAGCCTTCATGAAGAGCGCCGTGGAGAAGGGCGACGAGCTGTCCTGCGAAGAGCGAAACCTGCTGTCCGTGGCCTACAAGAACGTGGTGGGTGGCCAGAGGGCAGCCTGGAGGGTCCTGTCCAGTATCGAACAGAAAGGCCAGGAGGAGGGCTCGGAGGAGAAGGGCCCAGAGGTGGGAGAGTACCGGCAGAAGGTGGAGACCGAGCTCCGGGGCGTGTGCGACACCGTGCTGGGCCTGCTGGACTCCCACCTCATCAAGGAGGCCGGCGACGCCGAAAGCCGGGTCTTCTACCTGAAAATGAAGGGCGACTACTACCGCTATCTGGCCGAGGTGGCCGCCGGCGATGACAAGAAGCGCATCATCGACTCTGCCCGGTCAGCCTACCAGGAGGCCATGGACATCAGCAAGAAGGAGATGCCGCCCACCAACCCCATCCGCCTGGGCCTGGCCCTGAACTTTTCCGTTTTCCACTATGAGATCGCAAACAGCCCCGAGGAGGCCATCTCACTGGCCAAGACCACCTTCGACGAGGCCATGGCTGACCTGCACACGCTCAGTGAGGACTCCTACAAAGACAGCACCCTCATCATGCAGCTGCTGCGAGACAACCTGACTCTGTGGACGGCCGACAACGCGGGGGAAGAAGGGGGCGAGGCACCTGAGGAGCCCCAGAGCTGAGCCGCGCTGCTACCCGCCCCGCCCTGCCCTGCCCGCTCCAGCCCCACCCGCCCCCAGCGGAGAGGACTAGACTGGGGTGGCGGCCCGACCCTCTCCCCGAATGCTCTGCCCCAGCTCAGAGGCTCCATGGAGAGGGACCAGCAGAGCGGAGGCCCCTGGAGCCACTGGATCCCACTCTTCCTGCAGCTGTCGGGTTCTCCTAACCACTGGTCATTCCACCCAGCCTGCTCTCTGCGCCCCCTCCAACCCTACCCGGGAACCGGCCACTTCTGCCTCTTCCCCCCTCCTGCCCCTGCTGCCTCTGGATCTTAGGAACTGAGGAGTGTCCCACCCAGTGGCTGAGAACTGGACCGTATGGCAGAGGCTGGAGATGAGAGTGAGGTGTGTGTGTGTGTGTGTGTGTGTGTGTGTGTGTGTGTGTGAGAGTGTGTGTGTGAGAGAGAGAGACCAGAATGAGAGGGAAAGCATGTCTGCTGGGTGTGACCATGTTTCCTCTCAATAAAGTTCCCCTGTGACAAATCCCGCTTGTCTTTTCCAGTTATTGGCGGCGGGCTGGGGCTGGGGCTGGGGTATGATTTACAGAAAGCCTGACTTGGCACCTCTGACTGAGGCCCGAACCTCCCATGGGGCTGGCTCAGCGACCCGCAGGCCAGACTTTGGGGCCGGTGACTCCCGGCGAGCGGCCAGGGGACAGGCTCTCCCCGTCGCGCCCCAAGCAAGCCGGCCCGGCCTCGGGAGGGTCGGGTAGCGCAAAGGCGGCTCCTCCGCTCCTCAGCTCTGAGGGGACAGGAAACAGGGAAGTTTCAGGTCTGAGGTCCGAGGACAGCGCCGCCGGGATACGCTGCAGTGAGCGGCACTGAGCACCGGGTCTGAAAGCGGGGGGAGTCCCCTCAGAGGCGCAGCTCTGAGGCGGGAATTACGATCGGAGGCAGGGGCGTGACGCCGCCAGGAAAAGCCCAGCTCTGAAGAGAGGGGAACGCCCCCCAGCGTGCGCGGACGGGACCCAACGAAACGGGCTGGCGGAGAGGAGGCGCGAGCGGGGGAGCGGAGGCCGGAGGGGGGGGGGAGCGGAAGCCGGGGGGGGGGGGGAGCGGAGGCCGGTCCCCGGCAGCCCACCCGCCGCCCCAGTCCCAGAAGCAACACTCCGGCTCTGCGGGCGCCTCTCTCGGCCCCGCCCTAAAAGCCCGGGCTGGAGGCGGGCCGAAGCCGATAGCGTCCAATCACGGGCGGGAGATGCTCGGATACCGGCCAATGAGAGCGTGAGCGGCGGCCGCGCGCTGCTGCGTGTCTTCCCGACGCCCGCCGGGCCTGGAGGGTTCGGAGACGCCCCGGCTGGGCTGAGGCGCCCCCACCCGCCCGAACGCCAGGGGCGGCGCGTTCGGGTTTCACTCAGACAAGTTGCTACCCGCCGGGCCGGCGAGCTAGGCATCCGCCGAGCGCAGAGCGGCGGGACGGGGCGGCGTGGAGAAGGCAGTCCCTCCCTTTGAGTCATCTGCTTCTCCGACGGCTCCCGGTGGGCAGGACGCCTGGGGAAAGGCCACCGAGGCGTCTCACCACACACCTGAGTCCGGGCAGCCTGAACGGGTGGCCGGGAGACTTGGTTTGTGTCCCCAGACTTGGCGGTGCGACCTTGGGAAAGTCTTTGTCCACCTCCCTGCGCCTCCGTTTCCCCTTCGGGATCAAACGGGCTTGAACTAAAGGCTGTGTAACGAACACTGACGAATCTGGGTTCTGGAGCCAAGCTGCCTTCCTCTTAAGAATTGCTGTGAAGTTTGCGAAAATAAATGCACTTAAAGTAGTTCATAGTGCATGTTAGCTATTATCAATCCTTCTAGCATCAGAAGTCTAGGATTTACCCAGCATTTCTGTGCCAAAAGCAGAATCATCGCCCTGGCCGGCTTAGCTCAGTGGACAGAGTGTCGGCCTGCGGACTGAAGGGTCCCGGGTTCGATTCCGGTCAAGGGCACATGCCCAGGTTGCAGGCTCGATCCCCAGTAGGGGGCGTGCAGGAGGCAGCCGACCAATGATTCTCTCTCATCATTGATGTCTCTCTCTCTCCCTGCCTCTCTGAAATCAATAAAAACATATATATATTTTTAAAAAGCAGAGTCGTCAGGCCCAGTTCTGAGGAGCAGCTGATCTGCATGCTCATTGGGCCACCTGGCCTGGCTTCAAGGGGTCACCCCTCACCTGGCATGACTGGGGCAACTCAGTCCAGCCCCATCGGGTTCCCAGAGCCCAGGTATGGCCACACCCATGAGACTCACAACCAAGGGCTCTTATCAGAGCGGCAGTTCTACAGGGGAAGTGGCAGGACCACCGCGAGGCCTCCTGCGCCCTGTGTCCTCCCCTCCTTTCCTGGAAGTGTGTTGGGTTTCCAGCCCTGGCAGAGACTCTGGGCCGGGGCAAGTGACTCCCCCTCAGCTCTGAGAGTGACCCGGTTTCTCTCACCAGACAGGTCTGGTGACTTTCTCTTAAAGGGGTAGGTCCTGGGAAAGGAACGTCTTTCCTTTCTCTCAGCCTCCCTACACCATTCATGGTTGCCCTGTATGGGGAAAGAAATGAGCATGTTGGTGTTGAAGGATTTCAAAAGTACATGGTGTGGCCCTGGCTGGTTTGGCTCAGTGGATAGAGCGTCGGCCTGCGACGGAAGGGTCTCAAGTTCGATCGCCATCAAGGGCACATGCCCACGTTGCGGGCTGGATCCCCAGTAGGGGGCGTGCAGGAGGCAGCTGGTCAATGATTCTCTCTCATTATTGATGTTTCTCTTTCCCTCTCCCTCTCTGAAATCAATAAAATACATATTTTTAAAAGTATATGGTGTGGATTGCTCAGATGTGGAATCTAATTAACAAAATAAACTGATGAATAGAGTGGATCTAGACATGGAAGCATAGAATAGAGTGTGGAATCTTGGAGGGAAGGCGGGGGAAGGTGGGGGGGGGAGGTAATCAACCAAAGACCTTTATGCATATATGCATACCCCATGGATGCTGACAATGGGGAGATGGGGGCCTGGGGTGGGGGTGGGATGGGATGGACTGGAGGGGGACGATGGGGGGGAGGGGACATATGTAATACTTTCAACAGTAAAGATTTTTTTTTTTAAAGTTTATGATGTGGATTGGAACATCATCAAATCAGATGGCTAAATGTGAGCTGGCTTTGGCACCAGACCATGAGGGTCCCAGACCTTTTTATTTTTATGTTTTAATCTCTGTAAAACTTATTTTTTTTATTTCAGAGAGGGAGGAAGGGAAGGAGAGAAACATTCAACCAACTGAGCCAGGGGTCTGTAAAATGTTCTTACTATTACCCAGAGTGGGGTTTCCGTGAGTATTTCTTGCCATCTTTCCCTGGCCTAGATTGCTGTTTTAGAAATTTAGTTCTACTGCTAATGGGTACAGAGTTTCTTTTGGAGTGATGAAATGTTCCAGGTTTGTTTATTTTGCTTTAAAGTTGATTTTAGAGAGAGAAACATCAATTTGTAGTACCACTTATTTTTTTCATTCATTGCTTGATTCTTGTATGTGCCCTGGCTGGGGATCAAACCCACAACCTTGACGTATCAGGATGACACTCTAACCAACTGAGCTACCCAGCCAGGACAAAATGTTCTGGATTTACACTGGGGTAATATTTGTACAATTTTATGAATATATAAAAGACACTGAACTGTACACTTTAGAAGGATAAATTTTATAGTGTGTGAATTATATCTGTTTTAAAAATCAGTCCCAGAAGCCCTGGTCAGTGTGGCTCAGTTGGCTGAATGTCGTCTCATGCACTGAAAGGTCGCCGTTTCGATTCTCCACCAGGGCACATACCCAGATTGTGGGTTCAATCCTCAGTCAGGGTGCATATGGGAGGCAACTGATCAATGTTTCTCTCTCACAATGATGTTTCTCTCTCTCTCCCTCTCCCTTCTCTCTCTCTAAAAAAAATCAGTCCCAAAAGGCAAAGCAGGTTCCCCTGGAAATTTCATGGTGGCCATTCTCCCCTTCACACTATCCTTTCCACTTGAGCACCTGTTATAACCTCTAAATTTCAAAGCCCAGCTTCAGGTCAAAACGTGACTACCCAGCTTCCCTCTCCCTTTAACATATACAGAGCTTTGGATCTGTGCTCTCTTATCAACTCCTTTAATTTATATAGGTACATTCATTAAGTGCATTTATTCAGTTATGATTTCATATTGACTCGATTCTACCCCTGGGTTTGTAAGTATGTCCTGGGTTTATTTATTGTCTCCTCAGAAAGCTCTCTAAAAAAATAACTTTGTCCCATTATTCAAAAGTAACTTTGTCCCTTTCTTCCCCCAGTGTCTCAAGACTGTGTACACTCAAGCTGTCTCAAAAACTTGTGTCTCAAGGTTTTGTGTACAGAAAGGTGCTCAGAACTTAGTTTTAAAACCATCCTCCCAAATGCCTGGAAATCCGGTTTAGTGCCAGGTCCTCAGTTGTGGAAATAGAAATATAGCTGGTTCTGAGAGGAGGCAGGGCTATCTTCTAGACAGAGACCGGCTCACAGAGATTCAAATAATCCCAGTCCTATCCTTTCTGCACTGCCAGAGTACCTATCCTCCAGGAAATGGAGGCCCAGGGCTTACAAAGATCTTTCGCTCTCAAGAGTTTGATTGATATGGGGAAAATTTGCAACTTAAGGTTTTCTAGGGGAGATACCACTCTTAATTGGCTCTGTAGATCCACAGGTGATGGAGGGCAAGGCATTGGGTTCAAAGTGCCTTCCCAGAACCAACCAGGCACCCTAGGGAGGCCACTGTGGCTCCTTCTAGAAAGGCAAGATACTCCTATACACACACGTCCAAGGTCCAAATGTCCAGTGCCTTTTGGGGAAAACCTGATTTCAGATGCTTTCACCAAGATTGTTCTGACCAACAGTACCCCACTCCTGCTTCTTCCTAGAGAACAGAGTACTGTAACAATAGCAGTGGGCTCTGGCCGAGCAGCTTGGTTGGTTAGAGCATTGTTCCTACACGCCAAGGCTAGACTCCAAGGTCAGGCATTTAAAGAGTCAACCAATGAATGCATGAATAAGTGCAACAACAAATCAATGTCTCTCTCTCTCAAAATAATTTTTTTTAAAATAGCAACAGACATGACTGCTATTATCATCTTTGTTTTGCAGATGAAGAGAATGGGGCTCAGTGCAGCTAAATAACCTAATAATGTACCTGGGGAATGGAATGGATCTGACTCCAAAGTCCATGATTTTTAAACTACAACAGCTGTTTTCAAATTGTGTTCAGAGGGTTCCCCAGAAACTACCACAGGGCAGGAGACCAGTGGTCAGGGTTTCCCGTTTCCACATATGGCTACAATAGCCACACACATGTCTGTATTGTGAGTTAAAAATAAGCTTGAAAAGAACCGCATTATGCTATGCTGCCCTGCTTCTAAGAATCTAGAAAGACTTACTCTACTCTCAATCTAATGCCAGCCCAGGGCCCAGCAGAAAGGAATTGTCTTGAGAAAAAAACTGTAGTGGACCAATTTCCTGATCTTTACCAAGCTAAGGTTTCCTTAATGTGGTTACATTCTTTGTTCCTTTTCAATTCTTCACCTGTTCACAGGGTCTACTTATCCCCCAATCCTTGCTGTGTGTGTGGAGGGGGGGGGGAGGGGGAGGGGGGAAGGCAGGTTTCTGTGGAATAGGTCCCCCTCCTCTCAGAACCCCCCAGCCCCACCTACACAGTGAGTCAGGGGCCAGGAATGTCTGTGGGGGCAGTAGACAGGTATGTCAAAGGCTGATTCATCTCTCATCTCCACCCAATTTTCTCCTTACTGTTCTCTGGGAAATTTAACTCTTTGTCTGGAGATAAGAGGGAGATTCCAGACTCTGAACTCATGGAGTCTTCAATCTGTGGCTACATACAGTACTTCATACATCAGATTACGGCATTTAAGAAATATATGTTGAAAGAGAAGGTGGGAGGGAAGAATGGAGGGAAGGAGAAAGACACCCCCCCCCCCCTTTCTTTCTCCAGAATAAAGTCATCCTGAATTTCCTTTTCTGAATGTACAGGGGACAGATGTTTAAGTCAGAATAGATTGTGCAAACACTGGTATGCTTTGAGTTGGGAGAAATCTTACTCATGTCCCAATATCCCTTCTGTGCAGTTTATATGATTCCACAGAGCAATGTGCAGGTTCCAGGATGAATATACAGGAAGAGGGCTCCAATTAGTGTGAAGAAAGCTGTATTTGCACAGAAAGCACACTTCTTGAGATTTTGCGTTCATTTGGGATAGATTGAAGGGGCCTTTCATCTCCCTCCTCCACCATTGCTTCAGGGTTTTGGATGAGGAAAGAAATTTCCAGCTTTGCTCTGTATTTTAGTTCAGCACATTTTTATCAATATTCATCTTTCTTTTTCATCTTAGTTGGGCTCCAAGTCCCCAGCCCATCCCTTCACAGCTCCTCAGTCTTAAGCTCCCTGGACACCTGCACTTCTGGGGCTTCCTGGCAGGAAATGAAGGACAGTCCGTTGTAAATGAGACTTATGACTTCCCCTGGTCTCAGTAGGCCCAATGCCATTGAGATATGTGCTAATTTGGGACTCTTCCTTCTTCAGGGGATAGGAAGTCGGAGTGGGCAGCCCAGATCAGGCTGGGTAAAGGCTCAATGCACAGGGGCAAGAAAAGGGGAGGGGCAGGAAGGGGGCTACTCAGCTTGCTAGTTTCCTTCCAGACGTCTGGGGCAGTTGGGCCTCCCCACTACTTTCAAAAACCGGGTGGGCCTTGGTAATGCTGGGATGGGTCTGAAGTCACTCCCCTTCCCTTCTCAGGAGCCTTGAGAAAGGACAGAGACTCTCCAAGATCAACCTTCCCCCATCCCCTACTGGGATCAGGCTTCCTAACTCAGCCGACTGACTGGAGGGGAGCTTTTTCCTAATTCAGAAACAGTGGAGAGCAGACTGGCTGTGCTTTAGCTCTGTGGGACTCAAGGGCATCACCCTCACTCCTAAGCCTCTTTGGTCTAGAAGCCTTTGCAATTAACTGTGGTCTCTGATAAGTTCCAAATGCTATCTCCCAATTGTTGGAGCTCCAATTCAGAGCCAGGAAATGCATTTATCCTAATGTCGGTGATAAGCAGAGATGATCAAGAAGATCCCTTCTAAGGTACCTTAGGAGAGAGAGGCATTTTGAGGAAGTGTCTGTGAGATGTAAAGTGGCACTTTTCTGGAAGGCAAATGAATCCAGAACCTGGAAAACATCAGCTTTTTCATTTCTAGGATTTTATCATAAGTTAAAAGACAAAGACTCAGCCCTAGCCAGTGTGGCTCAGTTGGTTGGAGTGTCGTCCAGTTCACCAGAAGGTCCAGTGGGTTCGATTGCTGGTCAGGGCATATACCTAGATTGCAAGTTTGATCCCTGGTCCAGGCGTATGTGGGAAGCCACCAATCCATGTATTTCTTTCACATCTATGTTTCTCTTTCCCACTTTAAGATCAATTAAAAAAAAAAAGTTAAAGATTCAGACAGCACTATTTACAATAGCAAAAAATTGGTAACGACTTATAGGCTAACCATGGGAATTTGAGTAAGTAAACAATATTGTAGCCATACCACAGAATATTATCATGTAAACATTAAAAGGTCTTCATATTTTTAATTATATTAAATAGTGTCAACTAAAAAAGGCAGGTTACAAAGCAATAATATATCTTACATAAATGCTATAACTATCCCTCTGTATGTATAGAAAAATAAAATAAAATATACATTTCAATATAAAATTTGTTATAGATTATATTTTTATTTCTGTTATGGGATTATGAGCCTAATTTTATTTTCCAAGTTTTTCACTTTGCTATTTTTATCAGGAAATTAAATTTAAAAAAAAGAAATCTTAAGGACAGTTGCCCTATCCCAGCCATACTGGAGGACAGTTTTTCTCTTACCCTATACATTTCATGATGAACAGACCTCACCTGGAGCCCACAGTCCTTTTGGCACTGTGCTATCCCTCCCCAACATGAAAATCATTCTGCTATCAGTGGGAGGTGGAGAGAGCAACATCAGAGAAAACACCCTTGCTGTCATACCAATGCCTGAAAATAAAGTTTTGGATTATTCCATCCATGTCTACTCCATGACTGCAGAGAATAAATGCTCAGGGTGCTTGGATACGAGCCCATAAAGTTCTAATGACACCTCTCTCCAACTGGTTTGTTTTGGTGATAGCTGTGGCCTCCATGATGGAGTAAGCATCAAAACCCATGACCAGCCCTGGCTGGTTTGGTGCAATGGATAGAGTGTTGACCTGTGGACTGAAGGGTCCTGGGTTCGATTCTGGTCAGGGGCACATGCCCAGGTTGCACACTCGATCCCCAGTCGGGGTGTGTGGGAGACAGCCGATCAATGATTCTCTCATTGATGTTTCTCTCTCTTCCTTCCTCTCTGAAATCAATAAAAATATATTAAAAAAGAAAAACAGCCCTAACTGGTTTGGCTCAGTGGATAGAGCGTCGGCCTGCAGACTCAAGGGTCCCAGGTTCGATTCCGGTCAAGGGCATGCACCTTGGTTGCGAGCACATCCCCAGTGGGGGGTGTGCAGGAGGCAGCTGATCGATGTTTCTCTCTCATCAATGTTTCTAACTCTCTATCCCTCTCCCTTCCTCTCTGTAAAAAATCAATAAAATATATTTTAGAAAAAAGAAAAACAACCCAAGACCACAGCTATTGGTACTATTTTAAAAAACACAGCATCCATCCTCACTCTCTGATGAGGGATTTGTCCAGTGGCCACGGCATCAGGATTCCTGGGCTCCAGGCCCCATAGGTGACTCACAGCCAGCCGCAGGCTGTGACTCCTGGCCTCAGTTTCCCTGGCTTGCTTTGTTGATACTCTCTACCTACTGTGCAGGGTATTAATAGGAATGAGGTGCTTTGAACTCTGCAGATGAAAGAGTCTGAGGAAGCAGCACCCAATCATTATCCCCTATAAGGCTAGGCGTGGGAGCGGAGGTTGGCTCCTTTCATATTGTTCCAGCCACAGGAGCCTCCTCAGAGCCCTTCACTCTGCTCTGGCTGTCAAAGCTGGAAAGCAGAGCTGTCATTGCCATCTCAAGGCTACTTCTGAATAGATCTTCCTAAACCGCCCAAACCACCAGTGACCTATCTTCCCCTTGATTTGCGACTCAGTAATACTCTACAGGTGTCTAAATTCTTTCTTCCAACTGGCCTCAAATCCTGTGGGATACAGGCCATAATGTTTCACCATTAGTATCCGCAATTAAGAAGTCAGCAAAGTGAACTAGGAGAGAGCTAGGCTGACTGAAGTTCAAACTCATCTGTTTCCTTTATGTGTAAAGTGGGGCTTAGTAATAGTCCCAATCTTGTTTGTATCTCTAGAAGTTGCTGTGTGAACCACATGAGGACCATGTGTATGAAGGCACTTTGTAAAATGTCAAGCCCTTCATGGTGTGTTAACAGGACCAAGTATCTGCAAATAAGATTTCCGGTACAACAGCCATCTGTCCCTCTTGTGCTGCAAGCTACAACTGCAAAACTAGACCTGGGGTGCCACCTATTGGTTTCCAATATAAATTGCACCCAACCAGTTACAAGAAGAGCAAAGAAAGCAATCACCAGTATTTCCAACTTTAAACCACCTTAATTTTTGCCATGCCCCTCATGCCATATTATATACTTAATATTTTTCTTTAAACAATGCATTTTGTATAAATAATTTCATTTTAAAGTAAACTTTTAATCACTACTATAAATGGAAACTAGCTAGCACTTGCCAAAAATAGAATAAAAATGCAAAATGAATAATGAAAATGAAACATTGAGATCTAGCTAAGAAGTATCCCCTGTAAACCTCAAGCATCAGAATCAGTTAAAACTGGAGATTAACCTAAGTGCATCATTGGAGAATAAGTGTTAAACCTCCGGTAATATCCTGTTCTTTGGGGAAATACTGCCTTAGATGAAGAAATAGAACTCTTCTGAGGGAAGGTGACATTCACTCATTCTACCCCAGCTCCCTGGAAGGTTGAAGTAAGTTTGAAAGTCACAACATGTAGGAGAAAATAAACTCTTGTATTCACATTCCACAATAGTTTGAGAGGGGCCAGTGCTGAATTCCTGGTGGCAGTGCCCAGAGCTCATGAGCACCGAGGGTGTGGTGGGTGCTCTGCTTGCAGCATGTCTGACTTTTGGCCAGAAGTCCTTTGCAGGGCTGGGTGTCTCTTCATCAGCCTTCCAGCTCTGGCTGGGAGGACTGCTCTTGGGTCTACAGCCTGCTGAGCTGGGGCTACAGCTTTCTCCAGTGCTGGGTTATGTCTTGTTCTCCAGAGCCCAGCCTGTTGTTACAGATCCATGGCTTCTTGTTCCACTGACTGGTCTGAGGGTGCCAGGTACTTCTCCTGGATTCCCAGGGTGCTAAGAGATATGTCAAGGATCATAGCATGGGCAAGGGTGGGAAACTGGTCTGGGCAGGATCTGACCTCTACTGATGCCCGCCTTCCAACCATGTCTGGCAGAGTACTTCCATCCTTCTCCCTTCCTCATAATTATAGCTTCAGGCAACAGGGACCAATTGGGTCTGAGAAGCCTATCAAAGCAACGAGACTCAAATGCTCCTCTTCCCCGCATTGCTGAGGATCAAAAGACCAGAATGCTAACCCTTCAACTCTGTTGTTATGACACACACTCAGCGCCAGGCCATGGGGATTTAAATCCTGATTTTGCTGTGTCCTTTTTCTCATATGTAAACCAAGAGTTGTTATGAGGATCAAATGAGACAATGAATAGAGTGCTTAGCATGACACCTGGCAGACAGTAGGTGCTTAAGAAATGTTTGTGACTTCTCTTCTGCCAAAGGAGAGAACGCAAGTGAGCACAAAGAAAACAAAAAAATTTCTGCTTGGGCCATAGGGTGCCTTCTACCTCTCTGGGACAGCAGTAAGGACACAAATCAGATTCACGAAGACAAAGACCATGACACTGCTGATGGAACCCTGTGAGACTGGCTGGCCTGAGGTCAGGGTCTGGGGTCTGAGTGGGAGATAGGGGTTGACCATGTTGGCCACCATGGCTGCTCTACTAAATGACTCCAGTGTCAGCAACTGAGATTCTACAACCAGGGACACCGAGATTTGAACGGTTCTTCTAACACAAGCTGAGTGAGGGACGTTGGGGTCACCATTCTCAGAGCTCCAACTGCTTCATCTATAAAAGGGGATTGGATAAAAATTAAATAACATCCTGCAAATGGAGTATGTAGCCCACCAAATGATGTTCAGGTTAGACCTTCTTTACCATCTCATGGATCCACCCATCAAATCCATCTCAACCCGACACAAACTGACTCTGAACCTGTGCGCACTTCCCTTCACTTTTCCTCAGGAGGTAATGCCTTGTTCCTGTGCAAGTCAGTCCTGAGGATCATCTGCTTGTTTTGGAATATCAAACCTGCCTTATCTCTGGCCTGAAGCATACATTCCTGAGCAGGGCACATGAACCCGGAGTTCTCCTGCCTACCTCCTGGCACTATCACTGCTCCCCAGCCAGAAGTCCTATCCTGCCCACAAGTCACCATTCTACTTGCAAACCCCCCAAGACATGTCTCAATCTTAAACTCCTATGCCTTTGTATACATTGTTCTCTTTGCCTTGAATTCCCTTTTTCTCTTAATCAACTTGGCTAACCCTCACTTTGAGATGATGCAAATCAAATGTCACTACCACTTTGAAGCTTTCTTTACCAACTCACTCTTCAGTAGAGCTGATTTTCCCATCTTTATACCAATCCTGAATTGCCTAATACAGAAAATAAAGTTGAACCTTAAGAAAATTGGGATGGTAGAGGGGGGTAGAATCTAAAAGCAGCATAAATGTATATGGTGAGAAATACCTTTAAAATTCCTTTGTAAAGTATATAATTATCTAATCACTAGGCTGTACACCTGAAACCAATACAAAATAATATTGAAAGTAAACTGTAACTGAAAAATTAAAAACGAAAACAATTCAGGGAATCAGAACAATAACAAAACAAACCTTAAAATTCCTTAAATCACTTATTAAATACAGTATACATCAAGCATATCAAACTTGCGGCCCATCGGCTGCATGAGGCTCATGAGTATTTTTGCAGCCCAGCCAACATAACGGTATGTAAGAAACATTTTAATAAAAACTTCGTAACTTAATTATTACAATATCCTGTTATACATAATTATTAATAACAAACTACAATGTTCGCTAATGACTGATTACTGTAATTGTGTTGCATTCACTTCCCTTATGTGCCTTAAGTGCAGGTGCACCATTTCTCTCCACTAATACCAGCAGCGAATATTTTAGCAGCCGATTGCCACGTCATTAGTCCTGTACTGACTTGTTTGGTGTGCGCAACAGGAAATATTTCGCTTTAGGAGAGCAAGGAAAATAGGTTTATTTGCATTATACTTATTAATTTGTGCAGTTATTCAGTGTCTGGTAAGTTAATGATCAAGAAAAAAATATTGAGAGAAACCAAGATGGCGGCATAGGTTAACGCGGGAGATTGCTGCCTTGAACAACCAATTCAAAAATACACCTAAAGACGGAACGGACATCATCCAGAACCACAGGAAGGCTGGCTGAGTGGAAATTCTACAACTAGGAGGAAAGAGAATATCATACCCAGACTCAGAGGAGGCGCAGTGCTGAAGTGAAATACTCAGAAACTGCCGATAAACTTAATGAGATCTACAAGAAATCTTATGAGACCCTCGATGTTGTGATAAAGAACCAACTAGAAATTAAGCATACACGGACTGAAATAACAAATGTTACACAGACACCCAACAGCAGACCAGAGGAGCGCAAGAATCAAGTCAAAGATTCGAAATGCGAAGAAGCAAAAAACACCCAACTGGAAAAGCAAAATAAAAAAAGAATCCGAAAATACGAAGATAGTGTAAGGAGCCTCTGGGACAGCTTCAAGCGTACCAACATGAGAATTATAGGGGTGCCAGAAGATGAGAGAGAGCAAGATATTGAAAACCTATTTGAAGAAATAATGACAGAAAACTTCCCCCACCTGGTGAAAGAAATAGACTTACAGGTCCAGGAAGCGCAGAGAACCCCAAACAAAAGGAATCCAAAGAGGACCACACCAAGACACATCATAATTAAAATGCCAAGAGCAAGAGACAAAGAGAAAATCCTAAAAGCAGCAAGAGAAAGAAACTCAGTTACCTACAAGGGAATACCCATACGACTGTCAGCTGATTTCTCAACAGAAACTTTGCAGGCCAGAAGGGAATGGCAAGAAATATTCAAAGTGATGAATACCAAGAACCTACAACCAACATTACTTTATCCAGCAAAGCTATCATTCAGAACTGAAGGTCAGATAAAGAGCTTCACAGATAAGGAAAAGCTAAAGGAGTTCATCACCACCAAACCAGTATTATATGAAATGCTGAAAGGTATCCTTTAAGAAGAGGAAGAAGAAGAAAAAGGTAAAGATACAAATCATGAACAACAAACATGCATCTATCAACAAGTGAATCTAAGAATCAAGTGAATAAATAATCTGGTGATCATAATAGAATCAGGGACATAGAAAGGGAATGGACTGACTATTCTTGTGGGGGAAAGGGGTGTGGGAGATGCGGGAAGAGAGTGGACAAAAATCGTGCACCTATGGATGAGGACAGTGGATGGGGAATGAGGGCAGAGGGTGGGGCGGGAACTGGGAGGAGGAGAGTTATGGGGGGAAAAAAAGAGGAAAAAATGTAATAATCTGAACAATAAAGATTTAATTTAAAAAAAAAGAAAAAAATATTAATTTTTATTAAAATGTTCTATTATTTTATGTTAATAATTACTCATTTATTTCAGCCCTTTGTATTCAGCATGTTTCTACTGAAATAAACCTATGTTTCTATGAAGATTAAAGCTGCTTTTCTTGTGGCCACATAAACTTAAACCTTGTTTATTTGGCCCGTATTAGCCTTTTGAGTTTGACATGCTTGGTGTACATGGTTTTATGAGTAGAATGTGACAGCATAAAGTCATGTACATTGTGCAAAATATCACAACTCTATTGAAAGTACCCCTCCCCTTTTTTGCTGAGTACATGCCATTGAATTTGCCATAAGCAGCAAGTTGTGTGAGGCAGGTCCTTATATCCTTTCTTCAGGTACTTATTGCACACTCTAGTGCCATCATCTGTAACTAGTCTACTTCCCCGTGAACTTTGTTTCCCATGTGTGAAAGGGCCTGACACAGATCAGTAAGTGTTGGATGGAACTATTTTCCTCCCTACACAAGGACTCTGGAGTGCACCCCCCCACCCCTGCCTTGTCTCCAGCAGTGTAAATGCCCAATCTCTGAAACCAGCCTAGAAAGCCTGTCCTACCTCACATGCAGCCTCTGTGACATGAGAGACACCTACACATGACCTCAGCTCTACCCCCACTGGTCCAGTTTAGAAGGTCTAGCTGCCTCCCAGACAGCTGACTGTCCCAGATCCCCCTCAAGCATGGCACATCTGCTAGCTCCCATCCCTTCCATCTCCGTGACAAACTGACAAACCTTCCTCTTTCTTTTCTTACCTCAGTGACTAGCACAACCACTCATACCACTATCTAAGCCAGAAATCGGCAGTCTGAATTCTGCTCTACCTCTACCTTATAACCATCTATCACCTTAATATTTTTCCAATTCACACACTTCTATTCTCACTACTGTTTCATCTCTTCTCTTCTAGAAACTGTAATCACTCTCTTTCCCCCCATCACATCCCTTAAATGCATTTCCCACACTTGGAGGGGCTTTTCAAGAATGTACATTTGTTCATGCCACACTCTGAGCAACACCACTATGCTGGTCCTGCTGCTTGCCCATGAGCCGAAGTCCACATTCCTTAGCAGGGCACTGAAGCACCCCCATTGCCAGCCTGCACCCCCTCCTTTCCCCTTCACACTCAAGACACCGGGCAAACTGAACCCTTTACCTCTCTCAAAACCAATGCCCTTTCATTCCTGGGTCTCTGTATTTTTGCTCCTTCTGATTAGTATCTTCCCTTGTCCTAAGGTACAACCAACCCTGAAGCTGTCTAAGGGGCCAGCCTTTGAACATGAAAGAGTCACCAGGGAGCCCAATTGGTCAAAATGAATCAGACATCTACAAAGGTATAAGTAGCTATTCCTGAGTCCCACACACTACCCCACCCTCCATCCCCATTGGCTGTGGCTAAGAGGCTATCGAGCAAGGATACGAGGAGAAATGGAAGTCAGCTCCCATTGCAGCAGACATCATGGCCTCCAGGCTTCGCTGCTCTTGGACCCCGAAGCAGTAGCCATTGGCTTTATCCACAGCCTGCAGGACTCGCTGGACACTCTCCTTGTCCTGGGCAGGGAAGAGAAAAACAGCTCTGAGACTGAAACAGGGGTGTGGAATTGAAGTTGTACCAAACTGCTTGCAGCCCCCAACCCCCACCTCAATCTTGCCTCATGAAGTCTCTGTATATGCAGCTTCATTGGCCTGAAGTAGTTCTACCTGTTCCCAGAGGCCTGGCTACATCCCATTTTTCTGACCACCACCCCGCCTAATTTAGAATAGGTAAGCTCTTCTATGCACAACCATAGTCCCCTGGATTTATTCCTATTGTAGCTCTGATCCTACCGTCTAACTACTACAAGTTATTAACTCATCTGCCTCCCCTACTCGACTAATCTGCAAGGTTGAGGTATTCCCAGTGCCTGGCACAGTACTTAGCTAGCAGTAGGCACCGAATAAATATGCATGTAACCTATTTATTCATCCACAGAAAAGTAATAAGAACAATTCATACATCACATGATAGGGAGGAAAGATCAAAATAATGCATTAAAGCCCTGGCCGGTGTTTCTCGTTAGAGAGTCAGCCCTCGCACTGAAGGGTCACAGGTTCGATTTTGGGTCAAGAGCACATACCTGTGTTGCATGTTTGATCCCTGACCCCGGTTAGGGGGTGTGCGGGAGACAAATAATTGATATGTCTCTCTCTCTCTCTTTTTTTTTTTTAAATATATTTTATTGAGTTTTTACAGAGAGGAAAGGAGAGAGATAGAGAGTTAGAAACATCGATGAGAGAGAAACATCGACCAGCTGCCTGCACACTCCCCACTGGGGATGTGCCCGCAACCAAGGTACATGCCCTTAACCGGAATCGAACCTGGGACCTTTCAGTCCGCAGGCCGATGCTCTATCCACTGAGCCAAACCGGTCTCGGCGATATGTCTCTCTTATACTGATGTTTCTCTCTGTCTCCCCCTCCCTCCCGTACACTCTCTCTAAAAATCAATGGAAAAAATATCCTTGGGTGAGGATTAATAACAACAAGGTATTACAGTTCTTACCACAATGCCTAGTTTAGAAAACCTGGCCCTCGCCGGTTTGGCTCAGTGGATAGAGCGTCAGCCTGCAGACTGAAGGGTCCCAGGTTCGATTCCGGTCAAGGGCACATGCCCAGGTTGCCGCTTGATCCCCAGTGGGGGGAATGCAGGAGGCAGCTGATCAATTATTCTCTCTCATCATTGATGCTTCTATCTCTCTCTCCCTCTCCCTCTCCCTCTGAAATCAATAAAAATAAAAGAAAAAAAGAAAATTATTTAAAAAAACAAAACTGCCCTAGCCGGTTTGGCTCAGTGGATACATCATTGGCCTGTGGACTGTAGGGTCCCGGGTTCGATTCTGGTCAAGGGCATATGCCTGGGTTTCGGGCTCGATCCCAGTGTGGAGTGTGCACAAGACAGCCAATCAATGATTCTCTCTCATCACTGATGTTTCTCTCCTTTCCTCTCTGAAATCAATAAAAATATATTTTAAAAAAGAGAAAACCTGCAGTAAGTGGTAGCTAGGATTAATATCATAGGTTTAACCTCATTTTTAGAGAAGAGTGTGGCATTAAAAAGGGAAGAGACAAGTTTGCTCAAGTCCACGTACTGCAGATAGGACTCAAACATGCACGGGAGTCTCCCAGGTTATCTTTGCAGGGTGAAGGTGAGAGGCACAGGGACTGGGTACTACTTTGCAAAGTCAATAAGCAGTTGCTCATCTTGAAGGAGCCTGAGAGACTTATCCCTGACCTTGATCAAGTTCCTTGCTGGTGACTTTCAGGGAACATGTGGAGAGGACCCAGCAACACAGAATAGATAAGGCCAAACCTCTTTAGTGGAATCCTGCCCATCAGAGCCCCTGGTACCAAAACCAAGGGGACCGAAAGATAGCATGACCTAGGACAAAGACCACTGTTTGAGCCCTCAAAGCCTCCTGTACTCTTGGCATGGAGAGGTCCAAGGCACTGTCAGAGCCTATAGTCAAGGGAATAGGCCTCTTAGTCCATGGTACCTGGATGTTGAGAGGAATGAAGGAGACCAGGCTGTAGTCTTCAATGAGCTGCACCAATTTCTCATTGAGCTGACGATAGTGGCGGAAGAAAGGGTCAGAAGCCAGGTGGTCAAGCAAGTAGGAGAGGTCCAGGACCTCTGTGTAGTAGTCCAGGTTGAAGGCTAAGGAGAGAAACCAGTCAGGAACAGGTGGCATCAGGCTAAAGCCCCAAGGACAGAAACCATTATTTTTTCTTCCTTCCTCTGCCTTCATTCTCTCACTGGCTGGTTCCGTCATTTACTAGCGCTATGGACAGATACCCACCTCATGGGACTGCTATGAGAATTAAATGCTATGAACCTTGTGCCTGGTACAAAGAAGTGCTTGATCAGTGGTAGCAAATAATGATACCGAACATGTACCAGGTACAGTGCTTGGTGCCGCCTTCATGAAGCTCAGAGTCAGGTAGTACCCCAAGGACCCAGCACACACTGTAAGGACTTTAGCAGGGTGGTGTCTGGGTAAATCTCTTTCCCTTTCTGGGCCAGTTCCTTCTTAATGTAAAATGAGCAAACCAAACTAGATGACTCTGGGGTTTCTGACTCAGTTCTATGTCTACAAACTTCCCATTAAGAGAAGTAAAGTGGGCTTGCACTGCCCATTTCAGCCTGGAAAACTCAAGTGGTTGGGCTACTCGGCAGGTGAGCCAAGGAAACAGGCTGTCAGAGATGATCCACTCACTCGTGTGCTCTGACTTCCATGCTCTAATCAGCTCTAATCAGAAACTGACACCACTACAAGGAAGAACGTCCTGAGCATTCCAACAAACTTCTTGGGTTGCTTGACAGGTAGGTTTCTCAATGAGAATTAATAAACTGGAGCCAGGTACACTTGGGTTTAGATTTCACCTCAGCTAACATACTAGCTGTGTGATTCATGTAAGGCAGGGGTCCTCAAACTTTTTAAACTTTTTCACTGCCCCTCAGACCGTTGGAGGGCCGGACTATAGTTAAAAAAAACTATGAACAAATTCCTATGCACACTGCACATATCTTATTTTGAAGTAAAAAAACAAAACAAAACGGGAACAAATACAATATTTGTATTTGCATGTGGCCCTTGGGCCGTAGTTTGAGGACCCCTGATGTAAGGCCTCAATGGCCTCATCTGATCTGCTAACCAGCCTTTTGTGAGGATGCCTATCAAGAGTCAGAGCTAGGAAGGTTAAAGACCACCATGTAGCTGTTTCCTCCACCTGGTGGGGGCTGTGAAGGGGGTGAGAAGCTTTGGATGACTACAAATTTGCACATAGGTAAAATGGGGCTTCTGGGCTTGCCAAAGGATGGACCAGGACTCTGACCAGGAAGTGCTGACATCCCTCCATGTCCTGCCTTTGCTGGACAAGGCCCTTACAATCACTCTCCCAATGACTTCCCTTACTGCTCACTTCAGCTGTTCTTTGTGGCTAGAGATGCTATTTAGGGAACTGATGCCCCAGCTCAGCAGAGCACTAATATTGCAGGAAAGAAATGCTGGCCATAGGGTCCTTATTCAACTCCCCTGCCTCAGCAGCCTGCTTTTTCCTCAATCTTCTCCACCTTGACAAATGGCACCCTCATTTGTACACTGGCTCAGTCAGAAACCTGAGTGTCATTCTTAATTTCTCTGTCTCCAGGTCCAATGCACAAACAAATCCTATTTTTTTTTTTAATATGTTTTACTGATTTCTTAAAGACAGGAAGGGAGAGGAATAGAGAGCTAGAAACATCGATCAGCTGCCTCCTGCACACTCCCTTGACCAGAATCGAACCTGGGACCCTTCAGTCCGCAGGCCAATGCTCTGTCCATTGAGCCAAACCGGTTAGGGCCAAATCCTATTTCTTGAGCAAGTTTTGAATCTCATTTTCTCCATTCCCACCACCACTGCTGTTGGGGTCCATCCCCAGCAGGTCCAGGGGTTCCCATAGGTGTGGACGGAGTCGGCGAAGAAGGAAGGACACGGAGGCAGCGTTCAGTTGATCATCATAGCGATGTTCTCTCTCCAGGATCTCCAGCCAAGTTCTGTCTTTTTTCTTCTTCTTCCTGTTCTACGTTTTTATTAACATGACTTTTTAAAAACAAGCATCCATACCAGTGCTGGGGCTGAGAGCGGGAGGAGAGGGGCGGGGGGGAACTGGGCACGAGGAAGGAGTTCTGCTTTATTGGTAATAAAGCTCCAGGTTCATCCCATCATGGATCTCATAGTCGCTCAGAGAAACGTGGTCCTTAAAGATCGTGTACCACTTCTTCAGCACAATCTTATTCCAACGGGTCCCCGTCTGGGCGGGGATCAGCTTCTTCAGGTCCCCGATGGTGTCATTGGTGTTGCACTTCACTCGGACCTTCTTCCCCAGACGGTCGTTGCAAACCACCTCTATCATACTCGAATCGCCTCGAACCAGCTGATGCCACCTCGTTGATCGATCCAAGTTCTGTCTTTATTGTCTTGTTACATTTGTATTTATACCAGTTGATTTTAATCCTATCAATTCTATTCGAAAGGTTAGGGCGTTTCTTATCTCCACTCCAAGGTTACTCTATTGTTCTATTAAGCTACAAGGGAGTAACTGAAGAAGATTATCCTAAGTAAAGATTATGTAGCTTAAGCATGATTGTTCGTAGTTAAAGTGATTAACTACCCGCTTGGCACTTAGTTAAGGGGTTTTATTCCCTCCCTAACTCCAGGGAAAAATCCTCACCTGGGAAACAACCTTTCTCGGGGAGGTGGTCCTGTTTAAAACACATAGCGTTAAGAGGGGGAGCAAACATATGCCATATACGCCAGGTCCCTTGAAACATAAGCTATGCAGATGTTTCTTCCCTGCAGCGACTGTGTCAAGCAGCAAGGGTGGACCGGCTTCCAGCACACTGCTTGGGCTGCTACAAAAATACAAAAGGAGCTGTTTTCATTCTTGCCCCTTTCAATTCATTCACAAAGCAGCCAGAATGACCTTTTCAGTTTGTGTTATTCCCTAGCTTAATATTCATCAATGACTTGCCTCTGTGTCTAAATAGTACAAGTTTTGGTCCCTGCCAACCTCTCTGTCCTCATTTCCTACCACCCTTCCCCTAAACACTGTCTCAGCTACCCTGCCCCCACCTTCCTTGGAAACAAAAAACTCTTTGCTACCTGAGGGCCTTTACTCACTACTAGTCCCTCTGCTTGGAACAGTTCGCCCTTAGCTGGCTCCTCACCATTCAGTTCTCAGCTCAGATGGCACTGCTCACTCCCCACCACTCACTGTCCCATCATTTTGTTTTAATTCCTTCATAATACACATTACCATCTATAGTTTCCTTGTCCCCCCGAAACTCAGAACAGTAAATGGGACAAAATAAATGGGTAGGGGTCAGCACCTGACTGTGGCTATGATCACCAGGCCATGCATGGTCCCTGGAGGAAACTTCCTTCACCTGAGATCTCTGCTTCACTCCAGCCCAGTCACTGGCCTACACCTTGCCTGGCCCAGACAGGAGCACTTACCTAGCTTCCCATAGTGCTCAATGAGGTCCATCTTGGAGAGGAGGTTGACGTGGGGCAGCTCTACGTGCAGCATGGTGGCCAGGGAGGTACACAGTACTGAAATGAACTTGGCGGGGTCTGTGCAGTAGTGAGAATCTACCAGGTGGACAGCAGTCAGCTGGGAGGGGAGGGAGAGACAGGATGAGAGTGGCCTGAGGAGGTAGGGAACATCAGGGCCTATATCTCTCCCCCATCAGATTAGGAGTGCCTGAGGACAGAGTGCCAGTCTTCCCCATTAGTCTTTTCCTTCTGTTTCATTCTAATGCCGCACTCATTCCCTTCTCCCAGGAGATATGGGCATTTTTCTTAGAAGATGCCTTGGGCTGAGCCTCCCAGTGGGCAACTGGTTCAATTCCCACTACATCTGACTCCAATCTTTCACTTACTTTTGCCCCCAACTCACAACAATTGCCATGCTGTTTTCCACATAACTCCTTCCATACTTCTAATAATCCCAAATTGGGTGCTAACACATCCATTTACAGATGAGAAAACTGAGATTCAGAAAGATAAACTGACTTGCCCAGGATCACACAGTGAGTCAATGGCAGAGCCAGAATTCGAAATTATACCAGTTATAGTCCAAAGCAACTCTGCCCTTGCCTCGCTGTGTGTGGCATGCCCTCCCTGTCTTAGTTCCTTCATCTGCAAAATGGGCCGGCCCGACCCAAGACGCACCCTGAGGTCCCACTGGGCCATCTGGGAGAAGATGCTGCGCAAGGAGCCATGGTGCGTGCAGAGCTCCACTTGGCCTGGGCAGTCGAAGAGGAAGTAATGGCCGCGGAGGGGGTCAAGCTTGGCACGCAGCCAGTCCAGATTGGCCTCCAGGTACTCCATGCAGTACAGCAGGCCGCCGTTGGGCCCCAGCCGCAGGGCGTCCATCACGTCGCTCAAACCCACCAGCTCGCTCACGTCCACGGCGCACTCGTACGGCAGCCCCTCGTTGGCCGGGTCCAAGTTCACTACCGCCACGCGCCGGCCCATCGCGCGCAGGAACTCGCTCATGCCCAGGCAGTATGTGGTCTTTCCCGAGCCCGGCGGGCCGATCACAGCCTGTCCAAAGGCCGGCGTCCGAGCGGCCCCCGCCATGGGTGGCACTCGGCCCCGTGCGCAGCAGGAAAGCTCGGCGGGGAAACAAGGCGGGCGACGCGCCAGAGACAAGAGGGCGTCGGGATCCCCAACGTGCTCTTCGGGGGGTGGCGCGGTGCCGGTGCCCCGGAGTTGCCGACGGTGGACCAGCAGGAAGCCGGGCAACGCGGAGTGAACAGCCCGGTACTGAGCGCACCAGCAACTTCCGGAAGACGTCGGAAATGACAGGGTCCCGGAGAGGAAGTCCCGCCCTCACGGTGACGACACAGCTTAGCGCCAAAGGTCGTGGCGGCGCGCAGCATTTCACCAGCAGCGAGGAGATGGGTTGGGGTATGGGGCAAGGAAACTTTTTCGGGATTTACCCAACCTTCCTCTAGGCCCAAATTAGAAGAGAAAGAAATCCGGTCATAAACTTCTTTATTCTACCATTCGATCGCAGGTCCGGACCACCTCCCGCGGATTCTCTGCCGTCTAGTCCCAGCCGGTCAGGGGGAGAGGCAGTGGAAGGCCCACCCCAAAACCGTCTCTTCCGAGCACCACAAATCCTCTTCTCTTCCAGGTCCCTTTCTCGATAACCTCAGTCAATCCAGCTTTTCAAGGTACTGGGGGAAGTGACAGGGGCAAGCCCAAACGGACCAGGATTAGGAGATCAACGAAGAGCGGTCATTAAGTCCTAATATCAAAGGGGAGGATAGGGGGCTTTTTTGAAAAAATGCCCCTGAGGTAGAGAGCCAGAAGGCAAGTTCAGAACAAAGCACCGTGAAGGAGCGCGGCAAGTTGCTGCTCCCAGACTTCTTCCTGCTTCGGTGGGAGAAAAGGCCAGGGCAGTAATGAGAGATCCTGACGAAGGAAGTCCCTGAACTCGTCACTCAGGCTCTGAGAAGCTGTCAAAGGCAGAGCTGGAACCCCTCACAAAGGTCATATCTGTCCGAAACTTCATGCTGGTGGGTGGCTGGCGTCGGAGCAGCAACTCCCCTTGGTCCTGGGGCAGGGGTTCATCATAGATGGTGGAGATGAGTCCCAAACCAGTTCTGCGGGGCCTCTTCAGTTGCCCAAATGGCTGTAGCTTCTCTCCGTGGTACCTGGATTAAAAAGGGCTCTCGGTGAGAGGGCTGCTCTCAAACCCCAGTTAAGGGGGTTGGGAAAGGACAGGGAAATACCTACTGCATATCTGGTTTGTCCCCAAGACAGAGCCTTTAAATCTGGACTTTTGCTTTATCCGTTCATTGACAGTGCCAGTAACCAGGGGCCTCAATGCTTTCATTTTAAATAGTGCACAAAGTTTAGAACAACTGTCACCACTCCGTAACTTACAGTCACTCCCCAAAGGCAATCATCAAGTCCAAACTGGTCAGATTGGGAATAATGACCCCACCAGGAGATCCAGACCTATTTTTTCCTTCTGACTCTATAAAGTTCACTCTCTAGGAATCTCAAAGCCAGAGGAAAGGGGGAACCAGGCTACAACTGAAAGGTTAGCTTGGACCCCCAGGGAAATCCCTGTCATACTCACCCCAGTCCACGCTTACATCTGGGGTGCTGGCCATCATTATCCAGGGCCTCAGGCACCCCTGAGCACTGGCTGCCCAGGCCCTGGCCTTCAGCCCAGCCCTGTCGCTCCATCACCTTCCGCCCAATGCCCTGCAGAGGGAAGGGAAAAGACTCAAGAGACAGAGCTCTTATGGAGGGCAGAGGCAGGGCGGAAGAGAAAGGATGGGGTAGAGAAGGAAAAGAGAGGTCAATGGATTGGGCATAATCCTCACCTTGGTGTGGCGCTCAAAGGTGCCCACCTGGCATTCAGTCACGGAACTGTCCTCCTGGCCATCACGGCGTCTCCGTTCCAGGCGCATTTGGACAGAGTCTCGGGCATCCTTGTCTCCACCATCTAAGGAAGCAGAGCCCAGTTTGCAGAAGGAGGGAAACCAGGTGTCTAAGACCTCACAAGATTTACATATTCATCTTTATGATGATTTTATTACCTTATAATTCTTTCTCATTAGACTGGGAGCTTACCAAGAATAGGAACCATGGTTCTCCAGTCTTACAAATGAGAAAATTATGGTGCAGAAAAGTCAAAGAGCCAACAGAGACAGATTTAGAGCCCAGGTCTTCCCCTCTCCCTACCCAGGTCATTTTTGACTCCAGAATCTAAATTCTTCACCAGAGCATGAGCTACCAATGCCCACAATTCCAGGGTCTGCCCACCAGAAGCAGAGTTCCCTGAGGGCTATCCCTACTTGTCCTTGCTTCACAAAGAAAGAAAAAGGCTCTGCCTACAACCAGCACTTAAGGCACTCAACTAGAGATATCTTGAGAGGAACCATCTCAGTGAGCTACCCCAAGGAACTGATGTTCTGTCTTAGCCTTTGCTAAGCAGGTCTGATAAAGTGTCACTGCAAGACCACCAGTTTCACGTCCCAGTAACAAAACCCCTGGCCCAGTACCTCTGTCGTAGTACACGCTCATGTCCACATCCCAGTCATCGGCTGTCTGTTCATCAAAGTCTGCAGGTATAAGAGCATCAAACAGAGTGAGCTAAAGGACTCTCAGTTCTGTTGAGAGTTAAATCTAGACTTAGACATATGTTCTAGAACTTGGGGCTTTTTTTTTAAAAATATATTTTATTGATTTTCTACAGAGAGGAAGGGAGAGAGACAGAGAGTCAGAAACATCGATGAGAGAGAAACATCGATCAGCTGCCTCCTGCACAAACCCAGGTACATGCCCTTGACCGGAATCGAACCTGGGACCTTTCAGTCCGCAGGCCGACGCCCTATCCACTGAGCCAAACCGGTTTCGGCGAACTTGGGGCTTTTGATAGTAGTTTTAAATCTCTCGTCTGGGAGGGGCATTCAGAATTGTGGGAGGGCACTTTCCACTCCACTGATCCCCCCACCCCTAAAAAGGATGACTGGTCTTATATACAGTCAAGGTTAGCTACTTTCCTAGCCTTTTATTGGGCCCACTGTCACTCTTTATGCCCTGAGGAACATAAAGCCCAGAGCAAATGCAACAGGGAACACTCCTGCCCTAGTCTGGTGCCAGCATTACCTCCTTCTTCCTCCTGCCAGAACTGAGCATCTGTGTAGAACACCAGGCCAGAGCCGCCCTTCTCCCACTTGAGCTCGATCTCCTCCTCAAAGAGCCGCTCAGTGGTACGCTCCTGCCTAGTCACATCCTCATGCAGCGCTTCATGCCGTTCCCACTCCTCACAACGGTCATCGTCCTGGAAAAAGGGGAGAGGTGACATGCCTCACGCTAAGGTTAGCTTCCTGACCTTATGCCCACAAGGAGGGCAGCTCAAGGTACAGGAGGCCCATGAGATGGGCCCTCAGCATCATTCCTCCAAATCTTTCCAAGATGCAACACATATTAGGCCCTTGAGGTCTTGACCAACACATCTCTCCATCCGTTTCTCAACATGGCTCTTTCCCCTGACAAACCTGATTCACTCTTATTTCTGTGTTTTTGGTCATACTGTTCCCCCTGCCTGAAATATCTGCTCTTCTCTCTCACCACATTCTCTTTACTTGGTAAAATCCTCCTCATCCCTCAAGTTCTACAGCCTACATGGAGCTGGCCTGAGTATATATTAAAAAAAAAAAAAAAAAGAATACCACTCTCACCCAGTGGGTGTAGCTAAGTGGTTGAGCATCAACCTATGAACCGGGAGGTCAAGGTTCGATTTCCGATCAGGGTATATGCCTGGGTTGCAGGCTCCATCCCCACCCAGTAGGGGTTGTACAATAGGCAGCCGATTGATGATTCTCTCTCATCATTAATGTTTCTATCCCTCTCTCCTTTCCTCTCTGAAATCAGTTTAAAAAATAATAACTCACCCATGTCCCTAAAGCTCCAAGCAGAGTTGCCAACACATCTGGACCACATCCTTGTGTGGTACTGTCTTGACTTTTCTCCAGCACCTGTTCTGCAGCAGTGATTCCTGAGGTCTCTTGAAATTTAACCCAGACAGGGGCTCCCAAGATTTCAAACCATGAGTTATCTTATCATTCCAGAAGTCCAGTCAAGCAATTGTAAACATAGTGACTATCATAGGATTCCAAAAATAGTCTAAGACCATTTCCTGCCTTCAAAAAGCCTTAAACCTCCCTGAAAAGAGAGAGCCAGCATCTGAAAAGGCTGTATGGTGTGGTGAGCTGGGTTTGAATGGTGGCTCTGCCACTCTCTTGGTGTATTTTGGGCAAATCACTTTACTCCTATGAACCCAAGTTTTCTCAGCTGTAGACTGGGGATAGTGGTACTTACCTCACAGGGTTGTTGGGGTGATTAAAGGAGCTAAGTTATGTGAAGGGCCTGACACACAGTAGACAGTAGGTATTACTTCTTGTCCCTTCTTTCTTTGTGATATCCTATATAATAAAAGGCTAACATGCAAATCGACGGAACAGTGGATGCTATGATGCGCACTAACCACCAGAGGGCAGACACTCAACCCAGGAGCTGCCCCCTGGTGGTCAGTGTGCTCTCCCACAGGGGGAGAGCCGTGCAGCCAGAAGCTGGGCTCATGGCTGGTGAGCGCAGCAGCAGCAGCAGCAGCGGTGGCAGGAGCCTCTCCCACCTCCCCAGCAGTGCTAAGGACCCCTTGGGGGATGTCTGACTACTAGCTTAGGCCTGTGGACATCCCCTGAGGAGTCCCGGACTGTGAGAGGGCACAGGCTGGGCTGAGAGACCCGCCCCCCAGGGCACGAATGTTGTGCACTGAGCCTCTAGTCATGTATAAAGACCTCAACAGGGGGTACCAGTTAAAACTGAGTTCAGAGACCAGTGAGACTGCTGTGGGCCAGTGGGTGTGGCTAATATGTTTACAATTGCTTGACTGGACTTCTGGAATGATAAGATAACTCATGGTTTGAAATCTTGGGAGCCCCTGTCTGGGTTAAATTTCAAGAGACCTCAGGAATCACTGCTGCAGAACAGGTGCTGGAGAAAAGTCAAGACAGTACCACACAAGGATGTGGTCCAGATGTGTTGGCAACTCTGCTTGGAGCTTTAGGGACATGGGTGAGTTATTATTTTTTAAACTGATTTCAGAGAGGAAAGGAGAGAGGGATAGAAACATTAATGATGAGAGAGAATCATCAATCGGCTGCCTATTGTACAACCCCTACTGGGTGGGGATGGAGCCTGCAACCCAGGCATATACCCTGATCGGAAATCGAACCTTGACCTCCCAGTTCATAGGTTGATGCTCAACCACTTAGCTACACCCACTGGGTGAGAGTGGTATTCTTTTTTTTTTTTT